ATGTGCTTGTCTTCCCTGAATTAGAGAGCCCAGTTTTTAGTGCCTCAAGACACAACACTGGTTCTGCCTGATTGGAGGGAGGCTGCCGGGAACAGGGTGTCTGGAGACAGGTCCAAACCCCCTGCTCCTCTCAGGAACAGGCACATTCCACCCCCTTCCCACGCCCAAGTCCCATCAGGCTGCGCGTTTATTGAGCTATTACCATGCCCCAAAGCACGACTAGGGAGTTTGGGGGGATTCCAAGGAAGCCCCCTCTTTCCATCGAAAGCCTACAGCCAGGGGGAAAAGACAGGTGCATGAAAAGAGAGGTTGACATCCAGCATGTAAGGTCAAGCATTAAAAGAGTCTCAGGGCGGGCAGTGAACATGCCCTGGTGAGACTAACTTCCAGCAGAAGTGAGGGGCTTAGAAGCAACTCCCCAGAGCCCTATCTGCACGGGTGGATCAGCAGAGACCCCTAGTGGCCTGGGGGTGGATAGCCGACCGCAGGAGCCTGCTGTCCTCCCCCGCCCCTTTCTCCCTCCTGTCCCCCTTTGCCCCTCCCCACTCCCCAGCTGCTGTAAGTCTTTGGAGAATGGCCTTGATTTTTCTAAAATCCTCAGCCGGAAGGACGGCACAAGATCTCCTGGTTCATTCCTGTTTCAAAGGCATCCTACTTAAGAAAAACTTAAGTTGTTTCAGAACAACTTAAGGGAAACTAGTCTCAGTTCTTTCCTTCATGTCTTCATTTCTTGTCCATCATGGCTTATTGCAGAAATTTCTAACTTTCATGGAAATTAAGTGTGTCCCCCAGGCAGCAAAATTCCCAGTTCACAGGGTAGAAGGGTGACTCACGCAACTGGCAAAGCTCCTCCTAGGCTGACACACCCGACCACAAGGTCAGTTCACCTCACCGCCACTCTGTTCCTTGGGTGCCCCCCCCACCCCGAATTACCACTCCAGAGCCTTTGACTTTTCTTAGTGAGGGCTCCATTTTGGACAAGTCATCTCTTTTTTCTGTTGCAAACATGAGATCTGGAGTAAAACTTACCCAGTGCTCCGGACCCAGAACCTGGCAGCCAGCGGGGTGAGCACAGCTCTCGGCTTTTCTAAACCTGCTCCCCAGCTTGCTCTGGCCCCTGCTGAGAGGCTCTGAGCCTTCTGTATCTGAGAAAGCAGCCCCCCAACCCCCAATGCCCACTCCCTGGGAGGGAGAAGAGGAGAGAGCTCCTTGGTTCCATCTGACTCCTTGGTCAGCTCATCCTGTGGAAGTCATTCCCAGGAAACGCTAGAGGAGGTTTTGCTTTTGGGCCTATGTCCTGCTAGAAAGCAATTCTTATTACTAGAAATATGTCTCTTGTTCATAGAAAGTAAGAGCACCCATGCTGTGTCCAAGAAACCAGGAAAATGCCCATGATCCCTAACCTTCCAGCAATTTCCAGAGCCTCGGACACATCAGTGCCATGTTCAAGGCAAGGGGTTCTTGGACTGAATAGCCAGCTCTCACCTTCCAGCTCCTGAACAATTCCAGTAGGGAGGTGAGACTCCAGAAGCTGAAAAATGTCACTAAAATTATACCCACATGCCTCTCACCTCTCTATGATGCTACGGAGCCTGGAAGGACAGTCTTTTTGGGTGTAGACAGAGCAGCATCTGCCTGGTTTCGAGTCTGACAGCCCCAAGAGGAGTCTGTTGAGAGGATGACAATGCTGTGTGCTGAGCCAACATTTTCTCCCTAATGGGCTTCTACTGCAGCTCCTTACCCCAAAGAGACCTGTAGACTGTTCCCGAGTTCGGAACCCTCTTGCGTCCACACAGACAAGGGCTCTCTCGAGCTGGAGACCAAGGCGGAAATTGCCTTGAAAATGCCACAAAGTCGAGTCAGGTCACCGAGCTGATTTTAGACAGGGGCTACAGCTTGACTTTTGGGGTTTGCCCACTGCCAGGACCTTTATAGGCGAGGAAGAAGAAGAGGTGCCTGGTTTTCTTTAGCCAAAAGAAGTAGGGAGTGATTTATCTGGTGGCTTAAAAGTGCCAGGCACCAAGCTTACCTGGACTGTGGCCCGTGGACGTCCAAACACATCACTTAGCCACTCAGTGTGACCAGTGGCACGACACTCGGCAGACCCAGGTCGAGGCACAGCTGTTTGACTCAGAAGTCACTTCTATTCTCCAGACCTCAACTGTCTGCAGACAGACAGAACCATCTCTCTCCTGAGGATCCCGTAGGTAGTGGTGAGACTAAGATGAAATCTCATGGTAGCAGAATTCACTATAATATTCCCTATAATATAAACTGACTTGGCTTGTGTTTTCCCAGCATTGCTACATAGCTTGGGAAAGACTGTCAGAGACACCTCTTTATGTTAGACATTCCCAAATACTCTTCCCCAGTGAGGGACACCCAGGCGTGGCGCTCCTTCATAATCTCTTCCAATGAGGAGACTATGGAGTAGTTATTTCCACTAATTTTAGGATGAGTGGCATGGAAGAACCCCCTCCTCTATCAAATTATCTTCCAAGTCTGCTTCCACTTCAGATGACACCAGCACTGGTTCACACCCAGCCGGAACTGGGATGCTGGGATAGGGAATCTCAACCTACCTGTAGACTCATAGCTAAAAATCCAGCCTCGAAGTTTCCTGGGCCTGACACAGGAGGACCAAGGCCAGCTGGTTCCCAAACGAAGCGGGTGCCCAGGCTTCCGCTGTCCTTCTAGGTTTGCTTTGGCTTTTATCTACTCCCCTTGCCTTCAGTAACTACTGACTGAGCCCTGTGATTCAAAGAGCACCTGACTACCCAGGTCTTGGCATGGGAGGGAGGAGAGCTGGGTTCTACTCCTATAATTGCCAACCAGCCGGTAACTTGGGTTTCTAAGACTCAGCTCCTTATTTGCACCTCCTGGAGCTGAACTATATGGCTTTTACAGCCTTTCTAGTTGCCGGGCTCCCACAGGTCAGGCTCAGTGCTGGGCTTCACCTGCGGAAAAATAAACCTCACTGGTTGGGAGGCTCTCGTAGAACCCCAGAAAGGAGGAGGCAAGGCAAGATCCACCCTCTCCCTGCCCCCAAGGTCACGGCAGCAGAGGTGAGCCAAGAATAGAAACGAGGCCTCCGCCCTCCCTCTGCCCCTCCCCTCTCCCCCCCCAGAAGCCAGACTAGGAGGCCAAGCAGCAGGTGGCGGGGGAGAGAGAGCCAACTCCCCATGCCCGGTGCTGCTTATTTATGGGTGCTGCTCCTGCAGTTCTGGGTTCAGGGACAGCCCAGGAGGGTGAAAAGGGCGGCTCCAGAGAAGATGCCAAGGGGGATTTCATTGGCTGGGTTGAGTGAGCTGTATAAATCAGTGCCTTCTGCCACTTCCTAAGTGGCTCTGCCAACTTCCCAGGTGCCAGGGTCTGGTGGCAACTCACCATGGCTATTCCCTGGGGCTTTAATATTTTAACTTTGTCTCTGTACAACTAAGCATTGGCTCAAGGTTCCTTCCAAAGTATGTTTCTACACATTTTAAACTCTGGACTTGCCTGGACACTGAAAGCACAAGCTTCTCCCAGTCCTAAAAATGAGTGCTCGGAAGAAAGGACCCCCATTTTCTATGTTGGGCCCCCAGTAAGTCTACTAACCGCTTACCTGTCTAAACCCTTACAGCTCAGACCTTGTGATTCCAAAACTGGAGCATGGGGATGTTAGCCCTGGGTGGCCCTGGGCATGTACCCCAGTCCCAGCTCTGTTTCAGATGCAGAACTGGGGTGACATGAGCTAGGAGACCCACGTGGCTCTTCTTCATTTTTAAAGATTTATTTATTTATGACTACAGAACTGGGGTACAGGCCAGAGGTGCAGGGGGGGTGAGAGGATTCACCAGAGAGGCAGAGCAGGGAACAGAACAGGCAGTGGGCAAGACAGGAGAGGTCTGCTACGCCATGTGGGTCACCTCCCAGGCTGGGATAGAACTCACACTGAGGCAGCACCCATTGCACCAGGAGGGAGGGCCCCACTAGGGTCTTCCATGACACCTCATCGACACCTTTCTTGCTGTCTCCAAATACAGCAGGAAATCTTGACCTTCACACCCCCTATTCCTGCTTCATGAATTGGGGCACCTGCCCGTTCCCCAGCGGGGAGGGATGCTTCCTTCTCCTCTTGCCATGATCCCTCAACATCAGGTCCAAATACTTCCTTGCATAGCAGGATGGATGAGGCCAGAGGGAGTCAGAGAAGACAAACTGCAAAGATTGTCTCCCAGAAAAAATGGGGGCTGGCAGGGGATAAAGGGGAAAAGGGAAACTGTTGACAGTGGGGTTCGATGTTGGGAGTTGAGCAGGGACATAGAATTGATAAAATGTGCCAAAAGGTGGTGGAGGCTGAGGCTCACATAGTTATGAAAAGTCTATTTTATTATTATTTAATATATGTCTTAGAAGCCATGATGTGCCAGACATCGAGGCAGGCACTACAGGTGCAGAAGATAAAATGTTCGAGTCCCCTTGTACATGGAGTTAGGTGAAATGAATGCTGGGATGCTCAGGCCTAGGAGAGGGTCAGGGGTAGGGGCTAGAACCAGCTGAGTGTGAGGGAAGGTGAATGCTGAGCAGGGGAGCCTGATTCTCAACTCTGGCTGTACCGTAGAATCGCCTAGGGAAGCTTCCAAAACCCCACAGTCTTATTACACCCCCTGAATGGTTGAATTAGAATCTCTGGAGTTGGAACCCAGACATCAGGATTGGAAATTCCAAAGCCAAGTCAAGGTGGGGGCCCCAGGGTGACAGGGCGGCTCATGGCTCCGGTTTGCAGGAGAATGGAGGGGCTATATGAATGGCTGGCTGGCTGGCTGGCTGTTCATATGGAGCCTTCTCATTCACTCTTGCTAGGAAGCTGTAAGAATTGCCTTTGGATCGGGGTCTGGGAGAAGCAGGAAGGTGGGAGGAGGGAGAACAGGAAGGGGAGAGGGGAGAGAAGGCGTCTGGGGCTGTGGCATCTAAGCTCTTAGTGACATTGTCACAAACCACACCTCCCTTACTGCCAGGACCTCCTGCAGAATTCCCCCAATTCCATGTCTGGAGTCTCCAATAACCCCCAGGGGATTGTGGTCCCAGCCTCAGCGCTCCAGCAGGGCAACATCGCCATGACGACCGTCAACTCACAAGTGGTGTCAGGTCGGTGCAGGGGATTGTGGGGTACATCCCTGGGAGGAGAGCTGGTGGTCCTGAAGGGATTACAGGGTGGGGGCAGGAAACTGCCCAAAGTATTCTAGGATGTGGGAGGGGGTGCTCCCTGTCAAGGAAGGGGCTCCCAGCTGAGTTCTGTACATTGCTAGCTGGCTAGCACAAAGGCCTGACTGTGATGGTTTGGAACAATTTTGGGTCAAAACCTCATGAGCCCCTCAGAACCCAAGTAAGGCTAGCATCCCGCCATCATCCCCCAAACACCCAGAGAGGTACACTCCTCCCCTACCCACCCCTCCCTGACTGGGCTCAATGCTTCCAGAGCAGAGGGTTTTTATGTGTGATCATCAAAGGAACTGGGAACCCTGCTTTTCCTCACTCTTACCCACCCCCATAGCAGGGGACCCCAAAACTGGTTGTCTCCTCAGGTGGAGCCTTATACCAGCCAGTTACCATGGTAACCTCCCAGGGTCAGGTGGTCACCCAAGCAATCCCCCAGGGAGCCATCCAGATCCAGAACACCCAGGTGAGTGAGTACGCACGGGCGTGGGTAAGGGAGGGCAGGCATCATGCTTGCTGTCTGCTAGGCACTTTGTACAAGCAAAGTCCTCATTAACCTCTAAAAGTGGGCGACCCCCACTTTAGTCAGGATGCTGTCAACTCTGAAGATTTCACTTTATCCCAGAGTAGGAAAGATAAGTATAGGACCCTGCCATTCCTGTTCCTGGTCTACACCCTGAGCCACTCTGTAATTCAGTGGGATTTGTGTATACGCAAGCGGATGAGGAGCAAGAAGATCTGAAGTCAGAGGCCTGAGCTCTGACATTAACTCTCATCTTGGATAAGTCACCCTAACCTCTCCAAGTCCTGGAGTTCTTATCCACAACAGCAGGATTAGCACCAACTGCACACAGCCCCCCCCCCCACCTGGGGCTGTCCCGAGGGCTAAAATAACATAGGAAAGTGTTTTGCCAGCCATAGAAGATCCCAGAGATACTGTTATTGGATGGTTTATGGCAATTTCATCTCTCCTCTGCCCTCTGCATGTCCTGTTTCCTCCATCTCTCCTCTCTCACCCCCTTCAGCCTTTCCCTTCTTCTCCTTGCCTTTCCTTCTCTCTTATTTCCCTTGCCCTGAGGGGCTAATGTGGGGTGATGGGAAAGGTGACCTCCCTCCCCAGGGCCCTAAGAACCAGTTGGGAAAAGGGGATTGGCAGCGAGAGCCTGCCATCACTATGGCAACAGGTCCCAAGCTGCTGGCCTGCCAGGCTGCTGATGCTGATTTTTTCTCCACGTGCCCTGAAGGTTAACCTTGACCTCACCTCCCTCCTGGACAATGAGGATAAGAAGTCCAAGAACAAACGAGGAGTCTTGCCCAAGCATGCCACCAATATAATGCGTTCTTGGCTCTTCCAACATCTCATGGTGAGTGTGTGTGTGTTGGGGGCATGGTGCAGCCGCTTGGGGTAAGAATAACCCCTTGGGTCTCCAACTCTGCTGCTATCTCCAAGTCTAAGGGGGTCTGTGCTCCAAGAGAGCTCTCTGATAGGAGGGCACCTTCTGGAAGCCAGGTCAAAGGGGCCTACAGCTGGGAGATTCTTCTAGAGCTGGTTGCTGTGATGTCAAATGCAGGCACGGGGATATATTTGAATGAGTTAGGTGCTGCTGGGCAAGGGTACAGTGGGCCCAGCGTCGTGGATACTTGTCCAGAACCCTCCTTCTATGGGCAACCATGTTTACATGCCCCACTCCATGGAGGACAGTAAGAAAATCTTGATTCTCCGCCTGAACTTATCCGTTTCCCAAGGTCTCTGGCTGGAGCAGCAGAGGGAGTGTGTCCATTTCCCTCTGTCCAGCGCCCCCAGATGCAGAGAGGGGTGGTGGCAACCAGGACCCCGAGGACAGCCAGGCTGATCCCCCAGCTTCCACACTACACCAGCTTAGCAGCAAAGCAGCACAATCACTTTCGCAGGCCTCCCTGACTCCCTGTGTAAAAAGACAACAAGACCTAGGTTTCAACTGGATGTTTATAAGGTGTCTGCTATGGTGGCTTGCTCTAGGGTACCAGCCAGCACGGCCAAGTTGTGTGTGTGTGTGTGTGTGTGTGTGTGTGTGTGTGTGTGTGTGTGTGTGTGTGTGACCAAATGTCAGAAAGGACTTCAAAACTGACCTGCAATGCCCGAGCACCACTCAAGGGCCAGAGCAATAGGAGAGGCCAAGGGTTGGCATTGTCAGCTCTGTCTGGGCCGTGTGTGCGTGCGTGTGTGTGCGTGTGTGTGCGTGTGTGTGTGTGTGTGTGTGGAGAGGGAGGTAGATCCTGTGAGCACAGACAGGTTTCCAGCAGCCTAGGCCTGGCCTGTCTGTATGTAGATAGGCAGATTAGGTCAGTACAAGGATCTCAGGCACATTGGCCTGCAGCATACAGGAAAGACCCAGGAAGAAAGGGAAGCTTTCTTCAAGGGAGCAGGGGAAAAGTCAAATGGATCACGGAAACCAATCAGTCAACGGTCCATCGCCGACCCTTCGTTTACAATGGGAGTGCTCCAGAAACTGGGAGCCCGGGCCTCGGCAGTGATTCTCAGACTGGGGGGTCTTCAGGGCCTGCCTGCAAGGGCTGGGCCTGTGCGTCCAGAGGACAGGAAGAACTACTGTGCTAACAGACGTGGCCAGGAGCTCCGCATCAGCCCCTCCTGCCTCTGCCCCCCACCTCTAGGCACTCAGGCCACCTCAGCGAGCGGGGAATGCACAGCCTAGTAACTTGATCACAGGCTGGAAGGCTGAGGTTAGGGAGAGGAGACCAGAGAGACACCCAGAGCTGGTGGTGGTGCCAGGGAACGGGCACAGGCTCAGCCTGGAGCCCCCGGGTGCAGCTCTGGGTGCCAGTACTCCTGCCAGTCCTGGTTGTCCACGGTCAGCCAGTGGACTGACACGGCCCCGCCAGCCGTTCCCTTGTCCAGCCCCCTGCCCTGCCCATGGGAGGCCCTTTAGCCCAGGCTGGAGTCCCACTGACCTGTGCAACGAGGGTGGGGGCAGAGCAGGAGGCCCGCCCCCTCCGTGGCAATGTGGCCCCATGACTGTGCTCTGGGGATGCCTGCAGGTGTCTGGAAAGCGCCTGGCTTCAGTCTAGGGCTTTCCTTTTCTCTGTCACCTGATCACACTCATCTCTCTGTCCAGCATTGCATTATAGCTTTATGCAAGTTGATCTTTGAGAATCAACATACATTATATTAATTATATTCATTACATTTATAGCATTTATTACATGGATTGTATTTATTACATTTATTAAATGTATTATATGATATGTCCAATTCTACCCTTCACCATACCATAATCCTCTTTTTCCTGATATATATACACCCCCTTCCCTTCTGGTGACCACTAATGAGTCTCATAGGCCAACAGTTTATATTTCTTTTATTTAGCTCATCTGTTTGTTTTCTCTATATTCCTCATAAGTATAAAATCATAAGGTGTTTGTCTTTCTCCGTCTGACTCATTTTACTAAACATAATTCCCTCCAGATCCATCCATGTTGTTGCAAATGGTAGGAATTCGTCTTTATTTTAATAGCTGAATAGTATTCCGTTGTGTAAATGAAACACATCTTCTTTATCCTTTCTTCATCTAGTAGACGGTTTCCAGTTGTTAGCTATTGTCAGTAGTGCTGCAATAAACTTGGGGGTGTATCTGTCCCTTCAAATTAGTGCTTTTGTGTTTGAGGGGTGAATACCCAAAAGTGGAATAATCAGATCACATGGAATTTCTATTTGTTGTATTTTTTGAGGTGTCTCCATACCACTTCCATCTCTTACAAAGACTCTGGTGAAGCGGTGGCATCTCAGCAAAGCCTCTGGCACACAGAGGTGCTACACAGATGTCGCTTCTCTTTCCATCCTCCCCCGTAGGCCACCCCCTGCATTTCTCAAGACTGATGCGAGCACACCTAGAACCTCACCGGCGGGGTGGGGGCAAATGTAGGAGGCAGTGGAGCTGCAAGACAGATCCGCTGTCAGGAGCCCGGCACCCAGGGGAGCACCTCTGCTTTGGACTTCTTGCTCTGCTACTTTCCACACTCCTGTGCAGTGCACCTCTGAGACCACGCTTCAGTCTGAGACTGGAGGGTCACCTGCTCGGTCCCTCGGGGCTGTGTCTTACCTCTCTCCTTGGGCCATAGTTCACATCCTCCCCTCTGCCCCCTTTCCTGGGGAGCACCTCTGTTGCTCAGGGTCTTCCTTTCTGCCCCGCGGACACTGCCAGCCAGACTTGACAAGGCAGGGGACGGCAGAGTGAAGAGAGAGGGTAGCTGAGCACAAGGATGAAGGACCCAGATGGGCCGTGCAAAAGGACCTGGAATGAGGGAGGGGATTGGCTGAGAACATGAGTGTCTGCCACTCCCCCAGCCCCCAACCCTCTCCAGCTCAGAATGCAGCCCCGCATGGGGCCTGTGAATAAAGCAAAGTCCTCCTCCAGTTGATGGAGCATGGGTGGCATCCAGGAGGAGACAGGGCTGTGGCTCCTGAGCCCACAAAGTCAGAACCCAGAACTTTGGATGAGGACAGGAAAGAGATGGGGAGCAGCCCAGACGCAGGGACTCTGCAACACAGCTCTCCTCTGCAGGCTGTGGGAGGGCTCAGCCTGGCCACCAGGTACAGGAGGGCATCCACACTCCCACACCTGGCTCAGGAAAGAGTGACGCCGGCTCTTGGCACCTGGGCACAGTAGCAAAGAGACAGGTGGCTGACGAGGCTCTCCCTTAGCCATGCATCACTGTGGTTCTATTTCTTTGAAAAAAGATGGCACCCATTTTTCATGGCTATAAAAAGTAAATCAGGAAACATACAAAGAACCATACTCACACACGGTTGCACTTAAGAAATATGAGTTCTCTGAACTTTCTAGAACAGTGGGCCAAGAACAAGTATTTGAAGCTTTGGCCCAACATTTGTGAAAATCAATTAGAGGTGGGTGACTGACCTGGGGCTCTGATCTGTAACACCTACCGACTTTACTGTCACTTAACCCTGAGGATACTTAGTGATGACGTGACTTAACCTGTTCCATGTGTATATGTGTGTGTCAGAGCCACATGTGTCACAGCTCTGACTCAGCTGTAAATGACTTGGGAGTAGGGATCAGCCATTACACCATCTCCTTGGGTCCTATGTGCTTTTACAGGATGTTACAGCTGTCATTCCCAACCCAGAGTTCTGGGTTTTGCCAAGTTTAGCTTATTTCTTTTTTGTTTCTTTTTTTTTTTTTTTAAGGTTTATTTATTCATTCATACAGAACTGAGGTACAGGCCAGAAGTGCATGGGCAGTGAGAGGATTCACCAAAGAATAGAGTAGAACAGGCAGATGGACGAAGTACACTGCTGAGGGGAGCAGCGGGCGGGTCAGGAGAGGTCTGCCACGCCATGTGGGTCACCTCCAGGGCTGGGGATTGAACTCATGCTGAAGTGGCTTTAGCTTCTTATTGCTGTGCTTTAACCCACTGCGCCACCAGGGAAGGCCTGAGTTTAACTTATTTCTTTACACATAGTGTACTAAGACACATTGTGAGTGCCCAAGATAGGGTTTGACTCTTTTCCCCAAACATACTTGATGGCTCAACGTCCCTCTTGATTGCTCTGAGGAACAACTCTGACTTTGCAGTTCTTGAGAAATATAACTTTATACCAAATTGGACATAGCATAGCTATTCAATTTTCAGACAGATGGGGAGTAAAGGTATGAAAAGGAGCAGATCTCATTGAATAGTAGGTGTTCTTATATCCAGCACAGTGGGGACAACTAAATTTCTTGGTTAGTTAACTGGGAAAGTTGGTTGAAGAAAGAAACAGACTTTGAAACATTTTATTTTCATGTAGCAGAAATACATGTGTATGTATTTGCTAACTTTTTGATATAGAATCAAGGTCTTCTTCTGGTTAAAGTTTGTCACTTTCTATGCAAAAAACTCTCTCACATTTAACATCCACAAATTCCATCTTTATTTAAAATGAAAAAATAACTTTGATGTCTAGGAAATAACCTGATTTCAGGATTTTTCTAGATTTTTTCCATGAATTCCAGTCTCCTATTCTGATGCAACATTTTAAGTAAATTTGAGCCATCCCTCTTTCCAAAGCTTTCCATTTAATTTTCTTAGCAAATTGTAACTCTTTGTTTCTGAACTGGTATTTCACTGGTTTATAGACTAGCTAATTAAGGTACATAATTGCAATAACATGTATATCTGGTATCAAGCGGTCTGGATACAAACAGACTGACTTCCTTACAAGCAGATACATTGGCTAATGAACATTCTACACCTTCCCTGCCCACATCCAGGCCAATGTAGACAGGAGTGCTGATGGTTTACCAGAAGAAATGAAGAGTGTTGTGTAATCTGAAAAGCTGGTTAACAGAGATGGGCTACAGAA